ACCACAAAGTTTGCACTGCCTTGTGGCCCATGCTCAGTAAATATCTGTTGACTAAGGAACCCTGGACAGGCTCAAATAAATGTAATGAAACATTTTCTGAAGTGAAGAACTCTTCTGTTATGTAAAGTCATCTTAGTCTACCTTAATAAAATATTTTTGTGGTGGGCAGAATAATGGCTTGGCTCCCAGAGATAACTGGGATAATCCTCAGAACCTGTGACTGTTACATTACATGGCAAAGAGGAAGTAAAGTAACAGATGGAGTTAAGGTTGTTCAGCAGTTGATCCTTGGGTTATCTGGGTTGCCCAATGTAATCACAAAGGCTCCATGAAGAGGCACTCAACATGGCTGATAGGCGGCTTTGACAAGCCATTGCTGGCTCCGAAGATGGATGGATGGAGGGAAGGTGCCATAAGCAGAGGATCACAGGAAGCCTCGACAAGGCAAAGAAACAGATCTCTCCCTTGGAGTCTCCGGAAAGAAATTCTGTCCACTGAGAATCTGATTTTAGCCCGGGGAAAACAATGTCAGCTTGCTGACCCACAGAACTATACAATAACCAGGCATGGCAACTCACATCATAATCTCAGGTATTTGGGAGACAGAGATCAGGAGGACCGCAATTGTGGGACAGCTCTGGCAAAAAGTTATAGAGACCTAATCTCAACAGTAATAAAAAAGGTGGGCACGTAAGTGCATGTGTCATCTCAGCTGCAAGGAGGCCATGGATAGGAGGACTGCTGTTCAGTCTGGCTTGGGCAAAAAACTGTAAGATCCTGTCTGAGAAAAAAAATAATGAAGCAGAAAGGGCTGGGGATGTGGTGCAAGCAGTAGGCTCTGAGTTCAAAACCCAGTACTGCCAAAAACAAAACCCCAAACTGTATGATAATAAATTTCTGTTGGAAATGTTGTGGCAGCAATAGAAAATGAATACGTTTTTATACTGGGGCTCCCCCCACAAGGGCATTTTGGTCAGGCATTGAAGTTTCTTCTGATTCTAAGCTTATTTGACTGTATAAATCAGGAACTCTTTTACTCTGCTCCTTTGCAGGGACTAGCTACTTTCGGAGGGGAGGTCTATCTTCACTTACAAAACCCTTGATGAGGGAGGAGCAAAAAGAGAGCTGCTACTTCTGATGTCAGTTTCCAGAGAAATCTAGTTTGCCTAGCAAGCCTGAGGCCCTGAGTTCAAAGCCCAATACCATCGAAAGAAGGAAAGAAAGAAATCTAGTTCAGAAGAGCTGGAACATCTGCTAGGAGCAGAGATAAGGTGAGCAGAATTCAAGGTTTTGGATGTGTAATGAGGAGTCTGTGAAGAAGCTGTCCACTTACTTAGCTGGTAACAGAGTGGGGTATGATCTCTAAGCATCAGCCCCAGCACATGGTTCCTCCCCTGTGTTTTATTTTAATGCACACAGGTAGTGTATGTACGTAACTACTAACCACAGTCCCCATCATTCCCAACTACCTTAGTACTGGCCAGAACTCTAGCAAGATGTCAGCCAACAGCCTCCATGAGGCACTTGAGTTTGGAGGCCAGTTATAATGGGGCCGCTATGGCCAAAACCAGATATGTAAAATACAAGTATGCCTCCGGGATTAGTATTTTATGGCATCACTAGTAATTAGTTTAGATATCAGATAACATTAAAATAAGATAAAGCTACAAGTATATTTTTAGGAATATATGTTCAGGAAAGCCTGAAAAGAATATTTATTAAGAAGAAACCAGAAGTTAAGGACGTTACTGACAAAGAACTAAGAGGGACTCAAGGTCAAGTTAATTTCTCAATTTTGCTGAGCTCTGCTCCCAGACGTGTCACTTACAAAACCCTTCTGTGAAACACCTGAACACAACCTCCATTTACAAGCAAGTGTTTTTGGCTGGGTACTTTACAAACTGGTTACATACAGGATTGCTCAGATAGGATCAGCCCTCTTTACAGATATTAAAAACAAGGAAGAAAAGGAGTTCCCGGTCTAAGACCAATGGGGAAGAACAGGTAGAGCCACTCTTGGAGCCTAGAGGTCTCACTGTACAAGGTGAAGTCCCTTCCAGGTTTGCCTTCCTGTAGCTTTAAGCCCTTTGGTCATTGCCCAGCTGGCCACCTGTGAAGGCCTCCAGTGAAACATCCAGGACACTGCAATGGCAAGTCCATTTAGAAGAATCTTCTTGCTGGTGGAGTGGCTCAAGTGGTGGAGCGCCTGCCTAAAAGGGGCTTCTTTTCCCAGTTTCCACGTGCTACCCACCTCTGGCTTCCTGACATTTGCTGAGCTACTTGTCAAAGTCTTAGATACAGTGGCAACTGGTGCTGGGTAAATAACCGATGTTGTCATGGCAGTCATCAGACACTTCATCTAAACTCGTCTCTTACAGCCATAACAAACTTACAGGCTACTGGTTGCCAGGGGCTGAGGGAAGGGAGGAATGGGGAGTGACTGCTAATGGGTACATGGTTTCTTTTTGAGGGGATAAAATGCTCTGGAATTAGAAACTGGTGGTGGTTGTATAATTTTGTGACTACACTAAAACCAACAAACTGCAGACTTTAGCAAGGTGAATTTTATGGTATGTGAATTACATATCAATAAAAAAACTGTGACTATAATAAAAGTCCAATACTAACAAATGTTGGCAAAGATACAGAGAAATTTTAATTGTCATACATTTTCTGGTGGTACAGTTGCATTGGAAAATAGTTCAGCAGTCCTCAAAAAGTTAATCAAAATTACCTTATGATACAACAACTCAACTTCTAGCAACATATAACTGGATGAATGAAAACACAAGCCCACACAAAACCTGTACACATGTTCATAAGAAGCATCAATTGCAATAGTCAGAAAGTAGAAACAACCTGAATGCCTATCAACTGAGGAATGTATAAGTGAAATGTAATCTATGCCATGGAATATTTTTGGCCATAAAAAGGAATGGAGTACTGATACATGATATAACATGTAGCATAGGTGAACCATGGAAACATGTGAAATGAAAGAAATGAGTCACAAAAGACTATCTATTGTATGACTCCATTGATACAAAATGTCCAAGTAGGCAAATTCACAGAGAAAACAAAATTAAGTCATTGTCTAGGGCTTGGATGGCTGGAAGAAAATGAGAAGTGACTGCTAATGGTTATGGGGTCTCATTTTGGAATGACAAAAGCAAGCTAACATTGACTATGGAGATTTTAGCGGGAGACAGACTTGACGACCTTGGAAGAAGGGTCCCAGCCAATGGACTCCCGAGGACAGCTCTCCAGGCTCCTTCCAGGTCCAAAGACTCCTTCCATGCAGTTTAAAATTCTTTTACCTACTCAAACATACCTTCCTTTTAATAACGAAACCGGAAAACAAATGCAGCCCTTAAATATACAAATGTCTGTGGATGCACTGGTGGTGACTCACGAAGTTCAATGGAGTGGAGCCCATCTCCATTCAGAAGTTAGAGCGGTAGCTTAGGAGCCCTGAGGTTTACAGGTATGGTCGTCAGCACACATAGCACATACACTGGATCAAAGAAGACGCAGTCTCACCACTCGGTTGCTGAGCCCCTGGGCTCCCAGCACTCAGATGCTGAGGTGGGAGTGCCACTTGAGCCCAGGAGTTCAAGGCCAGCCTGGGCAACACAGGAAGAATACATTAAAAAAAAAAAAAAAGCCAAAACAAGCAAAAAATCACCAAGATCTGAACTCAAGTTTTATAATTCCTGATTAGATTTTTTTACTCTTTAAACTCACCTTATTTATCTGAATTTCATTAATTGTAATTCAAATGGATGAAGGGATAGTGACTCTACACATATCTTCTAACTGATCAGAAGAACTAAACAACTTCAAACATGGTTGACCCTTACAGGTGTGCAACTAGGTATCAGTTCTCAAAGCCACAGAAAAATAAGATTAGAAGCACAATTGTGTGCCTTGAATGAGAGTCTACAGAATAAATCCATTTATGTAACATGATCTTTTTACCCTCACATATTTTAAGAAAAATGTGCTTATATCCCATGTCAGAAATTATGTATTTTAACTCAACTAAGGAAAAGACAAAGGGATATAAAAAGCCAAATTACATTAAAAATTTATCAAATTATCTTATTGTACAAATAAGAATTTGTAAAGTTTTGTGTTTTACTCAAATTACAAAAATACAAACAAAAAACAGGACATGGAGTGACTGACTGCATCTCAAAATCAGTCAAGGAAGCCTAGGGGAGCAGAGGGCACAAGGAGACCTTTGTCGTCGTTCACTAGTGCCAGGTGCACAGAGGCTGGTGGCTCGGGTGAATGTGCCACACTGAGGAATCCTGCACTCAGCAACTCCAGCATGGAGTGCTTCTGACCAGAGGTGACCAGAGGCAACTAGAGGTAACCAGGGACTACCAGAGGCTGCCTCTTTCCACAGGCTCCAAAGTCCATAGCTGCAAACTTCACTGCCGAACTGTACTAAGTGGGACATACTCTGAATTACTGCGCAACCGAAAGAATACACAATAATTAAACTGCTGTAAGCACTGGGTTATAATGCGTGTGAGCCCGCATTCATTTCTATTACTCACCTACAGAGAGACTGGAACATCCTAAGAGGCCTCACTAGCACAGAAATTCACAGCTTAGAACCCAAAGCCATAGTGATAGCAGAAGGAAAATTGTAAGGCTAGTACTGGTATAAAATGGGGACATTTATAAAGGAAGACTATAATATTTAATACGTCTAGTGTGGAAACTGGCAAAGAATGTCAACTTCAGCACTGTATATCATAGCAAAGGAATGGGAACAGCCCCAAGCCCTAAGTTCAAGTGTGACATACTCACACACAAACACTGTGGAGACAAGTCACACGCATGGATACCACATCTGGGTCCGCATGTGCTGCTGCAGAACTAGGTCCAGGATATACGGATACAGGCAAGACGCAGCCCAGTGTGCGCAGCTTGGGACGGGAAGGAGCTTGCTTCTTATTAAAGGACGGTCAAGGGCAGTTTTAACATACCTGGTGGGGTCCTCCTTGCAGTGCCTCTTTTGCCTCTTGTGCTTCGTTTTCCAGGTACTGCTTTGTCCTCCTCCGAGAAGGCCTGTCCCCGTTTGGGGCCTTCAAAGGGAATGCTCTCCAAGTTCTCACTTGTGGCCAGTGCACAGCTGGCCAGGCAGCTTTCATTGTTGTTGAGACTGTCTTGCTCACACCCTTTAGTCCTCCCCATTGTGTTGTCACTGCTGCTCAGATGCAAAGGCCCACCCCCATCAAACTGGTTTTCATTTTCATCAGATGCAGAAGGCACGTGTGCTACTGTCCCTTCCACGCTGTCACCAGGATGACACCCGTCCTGTGGTTCTATCTGCAGATCATCTGTAGGAGTGTCACTGTCATCCATTAGCGCATCCTTTGTTGAGCTGTTTAAAGTTTCACTGAAGTCCTTCCATGTCTACAAAGACAAAAAGGAAGAAGCGACTTCATTTTCTAACCTCTGGGGATTCAAGGTGGTCTCTGATTTCCCGCTTCTCTTGAATCATTTCATTGAAATTAGGAAGAGACAGAAATGACAGATTCATTCCTTTTCCCTCCAGCAACCAACCCAAATTTTGCTTAGTTCTTGTGTCCATACAGAGGCTCTCAATACTGGTTGTACCTTGGGGGGGTGGGGGTGGGGGATGTGTGTGTGTGTGTGTGTGTGTGTGTGTGTGTGTGTGTGTGTGTAGGGGGCAGGGGCTGCCCAAATTCTATTCTAGATCTGCTACTGGTATGTTTTTTAAGCTCACTACATAATTCTAACATGCATCAGGTTGGGACTGCTGACATAATGAAAAACATTTATTCACTGCATAGGTTATCTATTAAAATCACTCACTCATGTTATCCCTAAATACTTGCCAGAGAAACTAAAGCTAGTTATAAAAGTACATGTGTGATACTAGGGATTGAACCCAGGCCTTTGCAAGCTAGGCAGGCACTCTCTCACTTGAGTCATGTCCTCAGCAGCCCTTTTGTTTGTATTTTGTTTTTGAGAGAGAGTCTCATGAGGCAGATCTCCAGCCTCTGCCTTCCTGAGTACTGGGATTACAGGTGTACCACCACACCCAGTTTAGTTATTGTTTGGCTGAACAGTAGCAATGTCCACAAGTGAAAAGATACACTGTTTCAAAACTCTTTGAAGAAAAGCACACATGAGAAAGTTGAGGTGGTCACATTGTACTATAGTCTCATTGTACCTTTCATTTCCTGAAAAAGTCACTGGAAAGCACTGTTAGTATTTTGCCAACAAAACAGTTGTAAACAATTAAATTTTAAAAAGGGAGGGTTCTGATAGGCTGACCAGTGCAGAGTTGGAAAACTAAATGTGCTCCAAGGACACTGCTAACATTTTCAAGATCTACCAAAGGGCCTATGGTCTTAGACACTGGGGAGGCTGAGGCAGGAGGACAGCTTGAGCCTAAGGGTCTTAGGCTAGCCTGGGCAACATAGCCAGGCCATGTCTCCAAAATCCAATAAGCAAGCAAACAAAAGATCTACGAAAGATCGCAAGCCCTGTGTCAGTCGCTTTTTCTCCTTACCACCTAAACATATTACATTTTAAAGAAAATTATGCCTGCCAGATTTAGATATTTTTATGCTTGCCAAATACAATTTTGGGTCTTGGCCAAATACTGAAGTAATTCTGAAAAATCCTCAGTGATAGGACTTTAAAAAATTCTTCAAATGAGTAAATAGAAGTTTTTACTCTTTAGAAACATGCAAACAATATACAAACTCCTTTAAAAAAAAGCATACAATATTAACTTTACGCTAACTGTACCATGTATCTTATTTAATTTTGGACATAAAAACATTGCTCAGCAAACTAAAAACATCGAAATCTGCCTGGTATCATTTTCTTTAAAATATACACTACTTATCTCCACTGGGCCTATGACACTGTAAATATACTCAGCTCCTTTCTAATTTAAGTCATCAAGAAGCATCCCAACATGTGTTTATGGTTGCAAGTATAGGGTGCTTTATGGTTGACCTGCAGGAGACCCAGAGGTCATGTGCCAGGGCACAGGACAGTGGAAACAGAAAGCAGTCTAGAGCCCAAAACAGTGACCAAGGCCTTTGGCCGAGTCTCCTTCCCTCACCCTCAAGCAGTGCTGGCTGCTTCAGGAAGTGTTTTCTAGTTCTCAAGAGCAGCCTGCAGGGCAGGGCCCAGTGTCTAAGCTTGGAGGGGTTCAGTAACTAGGATCACCTGGAAAGAAGGGCACCTGGCCCAGAAACCAGGCCTTCCTCATTTGGGATCCTATGCAGTCCAGCATACTGGCTGGGAGGAAAGGCTGACCTAGGTTCAAATGCTACCTCTGTCTTCTAGCAAGCTGTCTGTGCAACCTTACACTTGTTTTCCAGTACGCACAAGTCCCAATTTCCTCTTCTGCAAAACTCAAAGAGTAGGTGTTATCTGTTTTTGTATAAACTTTTGTTTTGAACTCAGGGCCTCATGCACTTCTTAAACAAGAGTCTAGCATTGAGCTACACTCCGAGCCATTTTTAAAAGTATTTTGAATGCTGGGCGTCAGAGGCTGATACCTGTAATCCTAGCTACTCAAGAGGATCAAGGTTGGAAGCCAGCCTGAGCAAATAGTTCACAACACCCTACCTGGAAAAAATCCGTAACAGAAAAGGGCTGGTAGAGTGGCTCAAGATGTAGGCCCTGATGTCAACCCCCAGCACTGAAAAAAAAAAAAAATTATTTTGAGACAGGGTCTCACAGTGTAGCCCAGGCTTGCCTTGAGCTCCTTAGGTGACTCATATTGGCCTTGACTCCTCCTGCCTCCGCCTCCCGAATGCCAGGATTACAGGTGTGCTCCGACATGTACAGATAGTGTGGTTTTGATGCTTGGACAGCACTGCAAGTAAAGGACCTAGATGAGGACTTGACCCCCAGCAAATGCTCACCCAGAGCTGTCACTTCCCAAGAGCCTCCCAGGTGCCACTGGGCACAGGGAGACTTATCAAGTGGTCCTCAGCCTCACTGCAGGTTCAGAAACAGCTTTTCCCAACAACCCAGAGATGAGCGGGCTCTGGATAACAGACATGCCAACTGCCCTCATGAGAAATCTGAGTCACTAGCTCAGGACGGGTACATCTCACTCAGCTCCTGCAGTGTGAAAGCCAGGGTCCTGAGCACCCTTTTAGAAGACAAAGAGATTTGGAAACCAGTGACTAGAGCTCACCAGATGTGTGCTTGCAGCTCTGTTGAGTGTCAAGTCCCAGCCCCCTGAGGTCAACAGCTGTGTTTAATTCTCATAACTATCCCAGCAAGTAGGTACTTTCACCTGTTACACTGATGAGGAAGCCAAGACTGGAATCTTGTCAAGTCATTCAGCTAGTAAGTCTAGAATGGAAATTGGACCACCTATGGTCCTGAGGCCACTCTCAGTCATTATGCTCTACAGACAGTGCTAACAGTCATTGAAGGAACATTACACACCAGCTGTGGCACACCCAGCCAAGCACCATGTGTCCCTTGGAGAGGACCTGCCTCTAAGAACCAAGAGTCCCTTAATATGCTGCTCTCTTGCCTGGAAAGTGCCGGATCCACACAGCATGCCACTTCCCATGCAGCTCACGTTCTTCTTTCTGTGGTCTCTGGACAGTGGGACATACCATCTAAGGAAACAGCTACTCAGTGCAGAGGGACTTCTTTCTCTGGGTCTCCAGACACTTTATCTTTTGTGCTGACACAATCAATTTAACTCTCAAACTAACTCTCAAAAGGAAATTTAACAACTTTCTAATGTGGATTCTTTCTTTCTTTCTTTACTTACTTACTTATTTATATATAAAAAGACCATTTACAAGTGCAGCCAGGCCTGGCTGGAAAGTCACTTACTCCGTTTGACTTCTCTGACCTTCCCATCAAGAAGACCACACCTGATGCACTCTTCTGCAGCACTGTCTCAGCCACAGTCCTTCCCAGACACTGCTTTGCACTATCGACTTCCACATAAGTGACATTAGATTTAAGCCACTTGAATGCTCAACCTACTCCTAAGTTTTATTCCCCACAATGTCTAGCCTGGCCTCATACTTACTGAACACATGAAGGAGTAGGGAAGTAGAAAGTCAGACACACAGATTTGCATGTGTACCCTGACCCAGTTCTAACAGATAAGGAATCTGTTGCACAGTATTTGGCTTCTGTTTGCATTCTTAATACAATACTTTAATTTAAGCAGTATGATAAACTTATTTTTTTTTTTTTTTGGTGGTACTGGGGCCTAAACTCAGGGCCTCATAGACCTCATACATGCTAAGCAAGTGCTCTACCACTTAAGCCACTTCGACAGTCCTTTTTTTGTGTTAGGTATTTTTGAGATAGGGTTTCTCAAACTATTTGCCAGAGCTGGCTTTGAATCTAGATCCTACTGAGTAGCTAGAATCACAGGCATGAGCCTGTACTAAGTTTTGAACTCAGGACCTTGAGCTTGCTAGGTAATTGCTCTACCACTTGAGCCACACCCCAGTCCTTTATACTTTAGTTTATTTTTTAGGGAGGATCTCACTTTTTGACTGAGGCCAACCTCAGACCTCAAACCTCCTACCTGTATTTCCCATGTGTCTGGGATTACAGCATGCACCACCACACCAGTGGTGTGCTGATTGAGATGGGGGTCTTGCTAAATTTTTGCCTATGCTGGCCTCAAACCACACTTCTCCTATCTCTGCCTCCCAAGTAGCTGAGATTACAGGCAATACCCAGATGGAGTTATCTAATCAGTAGAATTCTAATGCTTTTGGAAACAGTTACAAGTAAAATGTCATGGGCCGGAGGTATGGCTCAAGTGGTACAGCACCTGCCCAGCAAGCACCAGGCCCTGAGTTCAAACCCATCAAAAAATATAATCAAGTCAAATGTCATATTTGTCTCTTCTTCCTCCCACATGGGGGAGAAGAATGAGGCCCAGTCAAGTAGCAGCAGTTCAGAATATGTGAACAGGGCATGGGGCCTGGGATTTATTGCCCACCTGAGACTACATTCACTTGTCTGCTCTCTTCTGGAGAGTCCTCATCCAGACTCACAGCAGTTACGCCTGCTGTGCCATGGTGGTGATGGCTCTAACAAGTTTTTCCGCCCGGGTTCCCAGCCTCTCAAGGCAAGACAGCATTCCACTCGGCATGCCAACACTGTGGCTTACGAATCTCAGGCAAACATGCAAGCAAGGCTCATGCAAAGCATGAAAACTACAGGGCTCTGAGGAAGAAGCGAACAAATCATTTAAGACTAACAAAGAAGCCTGCACTTCACCAAAAGCATAATCTCAGTCTCACAGAAGACTTGACTTAATTTCCTTACACTTCAGTGTGCGGTGAGACTAAACACCAAGTGTCACTAAAAGTTTTAAATAACTTTCAGGAATAAGCAGATACTAGTCACTATTTTAGTGGAGTCTC